TACACGGCCAGGCGAAATTTAATGCTGTATTTTTTGGCGGTATGTGGCATTTCTTGGCGATGTTCAAGTCCTAGCCAGTACATTAGACTCAAGGGGTTGTTTGCGCCGGTCGAGTGCCATGCCATGGATACTATGATGATGACAGGTTGTTCAGTGTTTTGCGTTTAATCTATGTTAGTAATGTTGGCCTCTAAAATAAAAAATATTAGTCTTGCATGCATTTAACATGTGCTTGTGTTTACGTTATTTTTTTATGAAATAGAAATGGTGTATTTGAGCATGATGCGCAATTTTGTGTTTGTTTGTTATATTGTATTATAAGCGAAATTAAATGTACCCCGATGCAATTATGTCTATTACATAAACTGTAGATGATTGAGTGGTGGTATATATACTACTGTTCTCTCCTGCAATTAAAACAACTCCGGAAATATAGAATCATTGCAGAAAACTGATACTAGTATAATCGCAATGATTTGATGCTGTAAGTCAACTTCAAAACAGGATGCTGTGTGCCAGTCACGGTCGGAACTTTCCAGTGATGTTTGCGGTGATTTGGAACTAATACCGTCTCTAATTTAGACAAATTACCGCGAAATACGTATTGAAATGTTCTACAGTTGTCTAGGAGTAATTTATGGAATACACAATACTCGGTGTCGGATTTCTCCCTCCCGGGGATTTTTCGAGTTCATGTAAAAGCACTTAGTAGACTGGGTACGCAGAGTGAGCCGAGGCAGTCTCCCCCTCAGTGGACACACCCCAGTAATTCAGAATGCCGGCGGCCTAAACAAAGCGTATGTAATGGTACATATATGCTTCACTTGCATATCATAATCTAGTAGTATCCACTTTGTTGCTTTCTGTCTAGTCTTTTGAGAAAAAGAAAAATATGTTTATACATTCCTCATCGTTATTTCTTGATTTCCTATTTCTTATGCGCCTCATTAATTCACGTGATTCCTATATAATTGATTTAAATCATACATTAATTTGAGTGCAATGTTTTTTTTTTTGTTTTTTGTTTTTTTGTCTTTTTGGTCTATTTTATTATATTCTCTGCTCTAGTATAGATGTATTAAAACAGAATACGAGTAATAGTATCTTTATTTATAAAAAAAATACAAAAACCTGGCAATATCACCTGTACTTTAAATAAAATAACGATAAATAAAAAAAATCATCTGATATTCCATTTACTTTACAGTTGTCGTACTAGTGCCG